ACACATCCCGTCTCTCTCTCTCTCTCTCTCTCTCTCTCTCTCTCTCTCTCTCTCTCTCTCTCTCTCTCTCTCTCTCTCTCTCTCTCTCTCTCTCCAGAACATCCCAATGCGGACAGTCCGTCGCCTCACACCTACACATAGTTGTCACCCCGCTTAGTCCGAGCATGTCAGCCAGGTTCGCCCGTGTGCCACAGTCCGTTGCGACCCCAAGTCAACCCCGCATGCTCAGCACCAGCTCGTCAGATCGCCCAACTCTCTACTCACCTTCCGAATCTCGCTCGTTAGCCGATCCTCTCGACCGCGCGAACTCCCAAAATTTTTAGAAAGGGAGTTAATCGCGCTTGCGAAATTTATAGCATGCATGCTTGCACGAGATACCCGGGGTTGTGCCTAAGTGGACAAAGAAGGAGGAGGAAGGAAGTGCCTACGTCTGCATGGTCAGGCAGCGGCGTGGGGGACGCAGCCTCACTCTACACATCGATCCAGTCATGCAAGCGTTCCGACCAATTAGGACAGAGAAGGAAGTACGCACTCACAGGGACGCCACAAAAGATATCAAGAATAGGAGGATTACAGTGACAATTATGCCCGCCAAAAGAGAAGTTACAGTTACAAGCAAGGATTAAGGCGTGGAAAAGTCAGAAAATAGATCATGTCGCGGCAAAGCGTGCGCAAGCAAGAAGCATTGTGCAACAAAAAATCGAGACGCGCCTAAATTCCTGATCTAAAATTCTAAGTCCTAACTGCAAAAAAAAAAATTGAACGACGCAAATTCCGAGAGCCCACGGGGGCTCAACCTCAGTTGAAAATTCAAAAAAAAAAATTATGCGGGACGACCACGCCAAAATTCTCATTTCCTACAACAGAACTAAAAAGAAGTTATGGCAACAGTTATCTGTCGCGCTCGCTAAGGCGCGACCAGCTACCAATCGTCACAAGATTTCCTCGGCCTCGATTTCAAAAAACAAGAAAAGCAAGGGCGCCCATATAATCCCGCAGGCCCTTCCGATTCAACCCCCGAAGTAGCTTTGTGCAGAAAATCGTGCAGTTACAAAAAACAATTCGTCACATATGTGACGCTCAGGGGGTTCCAATCTTGGTTAAATTGTTTTTCATGTATATTTTAAAATGAACATCGTTCATCCACTCTAGGAGGTCAGTCTGAGGGACTTAAAACTACCAAGCCTATGGTGGAAAATTAACATCGTTGGAACGTAACTCCCAGCGTGGGCTGTTGACCAAGGATAACCAAACAGGTTGCCTTCCGATTACGGTCTGGAATGAAACCTGCAGGGGATACCCTTAGTGATGGAATTGGTTCAGGTGGATATCGGAGGGATCAAGAGTCAGGTCTAAAAAATTTGATAGGAGGACTTTATCCTGTATTGAGTAACCAATACGGGTACTACCGTTAAAATAACAACAAGGTGGGCCGCAAATCCGGCGTGATCAACCGACTGTGGTGGGTTGAAACCGAGGTTGTCGATCCCCTCGGATTAGACTTCAGGTGGGACGGTAAAATTTGACTTAGGTTAAGACCCGCGTCCGAAGGGTTGGGTTCAAATGTGATTCCTAACTCCTCGGACACCCAACGAGATCCTGACAAATAAAGTCTAAAGTTTGGGGGAGAGGCTATCATTATCTTCCTTGGTGACCTCCGTAACCGTAGTACAGATCCACTTGGAGTCATATGGATTAATCTTTCTTTGGTATTGCAATTTTTTTTATATGTGGGAGACCCAGGTTAAAACCCTTGCAGTATGGATGTACCAAGGAAGACAGTGAGGGTCTTCAAAGTGCGACTTCATCCAAGAAATCGGATTTTGATAGCTTGTCACGTCAGAAGGCCTTTTTTTGCATTTAGATTCCCCAACGACGGGGACATCGCTTAATGCGGTCCGGGAAAACTGTTGGAGCAAACACCCTTACAAGGGTATTTGCTCATGATTTTGCATTCGATGTAGTATCGACTCCAGTTACCATGCCGGGGACGCTTTGAAGTAAAAAGTGAGAATTTTTTTGGCATAACGTAATGAAGCAAAACTTCTTGATCACCGAGACCGAGGTTTCCAGGTGGCCATATGTAGTGATACGACATGTACGAAAAAGTTAGTAAAAATTAAAATCATTCGGCCGCAAGGGCTGTAGGATTGAAAGGGAACAAGAAAAGTTCCAGCTGTATTCGGCGTCCACAATCTAAATGAGTCGAAGGTTGAAGCGGTAAGGCAAAGACGAATTAGATCGAGTCCAGAGGTGTTGGACCGACCGGTATGGAAGAACCTGCGCGTCGCACCACCATAAAGCGGACTAAAGGAATCATATAAGCCCCGACCATGTGGTCAGGGCGACCAATAGAAACGTGTCGCTACCACACCAGGCGGCGACGACCTATGTTGGGCCTTTAAAAAATGTCAACTCTTGTCTTCATCTGCTCGGTCTCCCGTACCCAACACATCTAACTATACTTGGTGTAGTACCAGCCTACCTGCTCCCTGAATATTTCTCATTGCTCTTAAGTGTTGCGGGCCTCTTTCCCCGCCAATTGCGTGTTTTCATCGCGACAACCCTCAATGTCACAGCCGCAGGTAAGTACCGGCCCTAGGGGCCTCTCGAGCAACCTAGTGCCCTTGCGGGTCACACACACACTAAAGCCGACAAACACTGAGACAGGCGTGCAGTCCGGCAACAGACACACACACAGACTTAGAAACGCGTTCAGGCCACTAGCTGGGCTGAGCCCCGATACTCTACATATACCGGAGCAACTCTTCTTTTAATTAAAATCGGAGCTAGCTCAGTAGGTTTAGGGTGCAGGCTAACAAGCCAAAGGTGCAGAGAACGAATCCACTCGACCCCTTAGCTGGTTTTTTTCGTTAAGGAGCTCCGCAACACTTCCACCAGCGTTCGGGCGGTCGGGACTTGAACCCGTGACCGCCGTGGGAGTTAGAGGTTGTTTGAGCCTAGGCCCCGGATCCGACAGTTGGTTCGACGGGGAAGTTAGTAGTTAGATTCTTTTTTCGTTATCTTTCTTTTATTTATTATTTTATTAACTTTTATTGTTTTTGTTTTATTTTATTTTCTCTTATT